GTCTTATTTTTACATTGCTGGGGATTGAACCCAGGGTATAGTGTGCCAGACAAGTGCTTAATACAGAGATATACCCATTAGAAGCACTTATTTCTATTAATGACTACCATTGACCATTGGTAAGTGTAAAGTACACTTACTAGAGCAAATGATAAAGGTCAAGTGTGAAAGAATACTTTGTATATGACTCAGTTCTTACATTCCTGGGTTATGGGTAAATATAAAAATCAGCATTTGGGCATCAACCAATATGTATTCTAAGTTGAAGATATATAGATCAAACTAGTATAATAACATTTCTTAGATACTATATTGATCTGCTTGGTATGAACTTCATGCCCTTTTTTTGCACACATACAAAGTCATGTGTAACAGTATTTAAGAGAAAGCCATATAACAGTTTAGCACAGTATAAATAATGACTTTCTCAATGAATGTTAATGCAGGAAGAAGAAATAAATTTAAAGAGGCACATGTTGCCTTAGTTTTGAAGAGCAAGTCTAAAACCAAAGCAAATAAAACATCTTAAGAATTAATATTAGGAAAATTCCTTTAAAAGCTTCTGATGCTATTTCTGTAAAGACACACATAGACAAATACACATATATGTATAAAAACTGTAAATCTGTGTAGATTATTGTTTATATTCAGAAATCTACCCCCACTGGGCAAACTACCACTGCTTCCTCATCAGACTAGACACCTCAGTCACTGGGGGTCTAGGCATGTGACCCCAATAACAACTAAGTTTATTTGGGTGACTTTCCACTCTTCTCTCCTACTATTTAAAAGCAACAGACTCCTTCCTTGAATCATAAATATGGATACTTTCTCTGTTGCAAATTAGGGATAATAAAGAATAGTAACTTCTAAGGAAAACTTATCTACAAAGCCTTGCCATGTATATCTAGAGTATTTAGAAAATGAAAGTGCCAGTTTATGGTGACTGGTGTGAAAAATAATCATTATTTCTAATTAAAGGACTAAGCTGTTCCAGAATCCCAGCCACCTTTTGATTATTTAACTGCTAAACATTTAATGGATAATTTACTTTTTAGAAAATTCTTAGCCACTATTTCTTTCATTAGATTAAGCACAAAACATGTTGGCTCGATGGAAAAAAAAAAAAACTGTCTTAACACAACACTTTCCCCATATGCTTCAACACACCATAAGGTTTTTATGCAGAACCATGAAATAAGTTCACCAGATAGTGTCTATTTAAGATTAAGTGGTTCAAGAGTAAACAATCTCCAACTTCCCCTCCAGCTATAAAAATTCATCCAAATTCTTGTTCCTTTTTGAAGTTATTCATTATTGCTCATAATTGAGAATTCAGAGTGTATTGGGGTCAACTTCTCCTTCTGTAAGGGAATTTTTAACTCAGACTACCTGAGAGCCTTCTGAACTAATTTGTCATCTTCCACCCATGACCTTCCCATTGTGCCTTATCTCCTGAAATTAGACCAACACACTATAAAGTGAGTTTTCACTTTCTCCACATACCTACACACAGAGCATCAAATTATCTAATTTCCAGAAATTGAGTGCAGGTTTTATGACCTTACTAGATATTCAACCAACAAATATTATTTTGAATGTCAGCCATGTGTCAGAGATTGTGTGGAGGCTTGAAATTAAAAAGGAAAATAAGAAATGATTCTTCCCTTGAATGGTTTAGAAAATGGCCTCAGATTTCTTCAATGTTGTCACAAAGCAACAAGTTTAACTGTGGGCAGAGGGAGCTGGGATTTGGGGAGTCCACATACCTTCTCAGTCATATTTCTTTGTTTTGAGGAAACACAAGACTGACTCTTCATTACCTTCCATCCACATTATCTGTATTTTTTAAAGTTATTCTGCTTCTACTAAGAACCCCTTTTTAATCTCCTTTTCATTTCTCAAGTCCCTGATCAAATATTATTACTTATGTAGTTTTGAGACATCTTTAGTTTATAATGTCCCTTGTTCTATACACCTGTTATAGCTCTTAGCATATTGCATTATAGTTACACTAGCTAATATGTGGAAAGCACTTTCAAATTTCCTAATTTATTAAAATGTTCAATATATATTTGGAAGGAAAAAGGAAATTTTCTATATTGCTTTGCCTAAACTGAGTTCCTGGAGGAAATGGCAAGTTTTTTAAAATTCGTATCACCATTCTATCCTATTGTACATCAGAGTGTAACTATTTGTTGAATTGATTTGTTGAAAATTAAAGAAAATAAAAAATACATCTTGATTCATATATTACCTTTAATACACTTGTTATCCACTACCATCTTGTTGATAAGACAAAAATATACTATACTTTTTAGTTGTAATTCCTCAAGAATATTCAGATGGAGAGATTTTAAAATAATGTTATCCCCAAATGACTCCTTCCTTGAATCATAAATATGGATACTTTTCTGTTGCAAATTAAGGATAATAAAGAATAGTAACCTCTAAGGAAAACTTTCATCTACAAAGCCTTGCAATTTGTATGCTACGGTATTTTGAAAATGAGCTCTGCCTATGGTGAGAGGAATGGTGATCTCTGCATTTAAGTATGCCATTATTATTTAGCAGGTAGGAAAAATTGTCACTGATAGTGATTACTAGTAAATAAGACTTTACAAGCTCATTTAAAAAGATGGTTTCCAAATGCAAATAATGCACAGTACTTGTACATGGAAATAACAGTAAGATTGAAAAAGCAATGAAATATTTAAGATGTTGATTGTTTTGTAAAAAATATGAATTAATATTTAAAGAATTATATATCATATGCCAACTTCAGCATTTGGGATGTCCTCTTACCCTAATCTTTGTGAACATAGTCATTATTTCATGATAATATTTCATAAATATTTATACTTTTTCAAGGAGGTTTTTTTTAACCTCATTCTTCAAATAAAACACTGAGAGCTTAAAAAAAAGTAGATTATGACAAATTAGGAAAATTGCAAATCCTTGTTATGGAGATACTCTGTGAAGTCACTCAAGATATACTGATTTTTACTTCTGTTAAACACAGCACCACTACTAAGGTCATCACTGCTAATGACTACCACTGTCAACAATAATTAGAAGAATAACTCCTTGTATTTATATAGATTTTTACACCTTACAAACTTTTCACTTATTTTTGATTCTCACAACAACAATGCCAATTATGGAATATTTTCTAAGGAAAAAAAATCCAGTGGTAGCAAAGAATATGTACATAGATGTTCATCCCCATGTTAAATATAATGATGCAAAGTTGAAATATAAATGCCAAGCTTTATCAGAATGTCTTAATAAATATAGTCAGTTCATTTACTACACAGCAAACAGTATAATTACAAAATTAATACATCAAAAAGTAGAAAAATTGTGTTATTCTAGAGGGTAAAAAAATGAAGAATATAAAATTATATGGATACTAATATTACAACTAAGGAAACACTTCTGTGTATTTGGATCTGGCTTCGATGGTAACATGGTCAAATGTTCCAGTTATTTTAGTTTTTCAATGACACTGGTATTGTTCATTATACCATATACGTGTTTATTACTGTAAAATAAAATTAAAAGTATATGCTTATAATAACAAAATATTTGTTAAACATATGATTACATTTAATAATGCATCTTTTAGGGGAGACTTTTTACCAAAAAATGATTGTAGGTTCCTTTTTAGTAGAACGTGGGCTTTTCTTTCCCAACTCCACCAACCCTTGAGCATTTGATCACTTGGGATGATTTCAAAGAACACTGGTGCCTGGCTGTATCCTAAGAGATGAATTTTTCAGTGGATTTGGGTTTAAGCACAGGTATTAGATTGTTTAGGTGTGTTTTTTTTAATTCTCTGTCTATAATTCTATTGTGTAGCTTGGGTTGAAAATCACTAATACAATCTTAAGAAATTGTCTGAATTTTCATCTTTAGAATAAGACTTTCAAGAATAAGAATGCTATTTGGATGTTAATTAGACTGATGTAATTTAAGGAATTTTAAAAACAAAGTATCTTTATACTATCAGAATGGCAAGGTCAGTAATCATCTTATTCGTTGTTAAAAATAATATAAAATAGAATATTGGTGAGAGATGAGCACTATCCTACACTGTTTGTAGGAATGTAAACTGAATGTATTGATCAGTTTCACTGAAGGGCTTAACAATATGTCTTCAAAGCTTTTAAAATATGGAAATCTTTCTGTCCTTGCTATTTCACATTTAAGAATCTATCGTTAGAAAATAATAGGACAAAATGGCAAAGATATATTAATAAAAATGTTTATCATAATTTTGCCTATAATAGTAAAAAAATGGAAGCAACCAAAACATTCATGAGTGGGTTGATTAAATTGGGTATAGATCAATACATGGCACTAGTAAAATGATTCTGTAGCTCTATGTGAGTTAACATGGGAAGATGGTCATAGTATGTGGATAAATGAAAAAGTTATAGCATTAGAGCATGATACTAATTTATTTAAATATATATATATACACACACGCGCACACACACACACACACACACACACAGGCAGGGAAAATCCTGAAAGCTATATAACTAAAATATTAATAGTCATTGTTTCCATAAGTGCTTTTATATTCTGCTTTATACTTTTCATACATTCTAGATTTGTGGAGGGTTTGGGTTTTTTTTTCATTAAAACTAAGTACTAGTTTTACAAATAAAAATGGAAATTTTAAAAAATGAAAAATATATTTTTCAAAAGTGAAGCTTTGCACTTTTATTTCCCCAGTTGAATAAACTACAAAAGACTCTCCCATCTTCACCCTGTCTAATTGTGAAAAACAAGCTATTTGATATTCAACAAGTTATTTTTTTAAATGCCACACTTTTTTAACATGTTTATTTTTCCCAGTAAGAGATATAAAATCATCTCTGATACAGTTAATCTAGTTACAACCAATGAAGATGCCATGCAACAAATAAATTGAAATGTATCTTAATATCCATAATTACTAACAGGGTTTCTTTCTTTCTTTTGCATTTTAGGCAGTTCAGGCCCATCATCCTCCATAGCCATAGCTGGCACCAATCACCCCGCCATCACAAAGACAACATCTGTTCTTCAAGATGGCGTCATCGTCACCACCGCAGCTGGAAACCCACTGCAGAGTCAGCTGCCCATTGGGAGTGATTTTCCTTTTGTTGGCCAGGAGCACGCACTTCATTTTCCACCCAACAGCACTTCAAACAACCATCTTCCACACCCCTTGAACCCCAGCCTCCTCAGTTCTCTACCTATCTCTTTGCCAGTGAATCAACAGCATCTCCTAAACCAGAATCTATTAAATATCCTCCAGCCTTCAGCAGGAGAAGGCAAGTCTGAGATCAACCTCCACCCTTTAGGTTTTCTCAACCCGAATGTAAACGCTGCTTTAGCTTTTCTCTCCGGTGACATGGATGGGCAGGTATTACAACCTGTTCACTTTCAGCTCTTAGCTGCTCTGCTTCAGAACCAAGCCCAAGCAGCTGCCATGCTTCCCCTGCCATCTCTCAATCTGACCATCTCAGATCTTTTGCAACAGCAAAATACCCCTTTACCCTCATTAACACAGATGACAGCCCCACCAGACCATTTGCCAAGCAATCAGTCAGACAACAGCCGAGCTGAGACCCTTTTAACCAGCCCCCTGGGGAACCCTTTACCAAGCTTTGCAGGCAGTGACACTACTTTTAACCCCCTGTTCCTCCCAGCTGTCACTGGGGCCTCAGGATTAATGGCCTTGAATCCCCAGCTGTTGGGAGGTGTTCTGAACTCGGCATCGGCCAACACCGCTAATCATCCAGAGGTTTCCATAGCAACCTCCTCCCAGGCAACCACTACCACAACCACTACATCATCAGCAGTGGCAGCACTGACTGTCTCAACACTTGGTGGGACAGCAGTGGTGTCAATGGCCGAAACATTGCTGAATATATCTAATAATGCTGGGAATACACCTGGTCCAGCTAAACTCAACAGTAACTCTGTGGTGCCACAGCTACTTAACCCTCTACTGGGGACAGGTCTGCTTGGTAAGTTAAATTTTTTCACAAATTTTTTAAAAAGAAACGTTTTTCTAATTCTATTTTCTCCTTTTTAAAAACTCCATTTTGTCACACTATTTTTTAAAATGTTTTTGTTATGTCACAGCTTAAGGAACTAAATATAACAACACCCCACATGACCATAGTTATACAAACATGAGAATGACTTTTTCCTTTTCCCTTGTTCTAGCAATACTAAATATTATTTTAATCTGCTTTCTCTTCTAATTCTGATGCCACCTAAACCTAACTTACCCATCATTCTCTTAAGCCAAGTAGCATCTTATTTTTCAAATAATAAAGCACAGGTACATCTTAAAAATAATTTTTATTTCAATTTTAGTTGGTGTGGCATCACAGGGTTAGTATGAGCAGCTGCACGGTGACTGGAAACAACTTGAGGAAGTGTTTTCCAGGTGAACCCTAAATAAACAAATCTAAACACTTGTCCAGCAAAATATAAACAAGGCATAAAAACACTGAAAGCTAAAGTCTATCCAAGTTCAAGGAACAATCCCTATAGCGGTTGCTAGATTTCCTCAGAATTATTCTTTTTAGACGTTTGTGGCTTAAAAACAAAGTCTTTCTTATGCATTGTCCTCTCTCAAAGAGTTAGAAAATGATGTTAAGCGTATTTAACTCTTGAATGCAGGTGACTATAATGTAAAACATAGGGATGGTGTCCATAAAGTCCAGAAGCATATGCAAATACACGTGATGTGGTCAAGGCCATGTGCAGTGTGTTAAAAAAAAATATATGTTTCTAGATATTATGGACATCTTTAATAATAATAATTAGTTTTATCTGGCATAAATCATTGTAATTAAAAAATCTAAGTAGCATCACAAATCTACATATTTCAAGTTATAGGGGAATTTCTATGAAATTGTCCTCAAAATAATTTCAGTACTTTCAAAACAATTTTGAATATAAATTTAGTTATTAAATAATGCTAATTAATTATATGATAGTTATTTTAAAGATTGTGATAATGAATTATTTTGTTTTGTTAGTTTTCCTTACAATTTTAATGTTAGGTGACTTACCTTGTACTCCAAAACAAAAATGCATTTATCTAAACTAAATCTCTAATTTTATTTGGTGGTATTTATTTATGATTATGGCTTAATAATGAAATTTTATAAACAAGGCCTGATCAGACCCACTCATTTAAGTTATCTGATCAAGTATGTATGATTACTAAAATATTTTAGGACTAATTTCTACCTTTAATTATAGACATTCTTATAAAAAGAGAGCCAAGAAATCACATAACATTGACACTCAATATATAAGGATTAGTTAATGAATAGAGCAACTTCTAAGTAATCTTTGCATGATATAAAATCCAAAAACTAATTATGCAAGATAAAACTAAATAATAAAGCTACCCTTTCCTTACCACTTAGTAAGACTTTGAGAAGGAAAAAAAAAAGAAATGAAATGAAATGAATAAATGAATTACCCATTAAGTTCAGCTTCTAGTTTTGTTTTAGGAATTCTCAGGTACAAAGACAGGCATAGGATCTCTGAAGGATCACATTGACTTGTATTTATGTTTTTCAAACTGTAGGTGATATGTCATCAATAAACAATACTTTGAATAACCATCAACTGACTCATCTGCAGTCGCTGTTAAACAACAATCAGATGTTTCCTCCAAATCAGCAACAACAGCAACTTCTCCAAGGGTACCAGAATCTCCAGGCCTTCCAAGGACAGTCCACTGTTCCTTGCCCAGCTAACAATAACCCCATGGCTTGTCTGTTTCAGAACTTCCAGGTACTTACCTTCCACTTTTGTAGAAACCAATGTCTGGGTTTGTTTAAATATTTACTTTGGGGGGAAAGAGTGAAAAAAGTAGATTTTATACCTTTTTATATCTATTTACTGTTATTTCTCAAAATTGAGTATTATTCAATAGGCCAGTCTGTTGTACAAAGGTAATTTTGTTTTATGTAGTAGTCTTTTTTGAAACTCCGAATGTTACTCTCTTAATGCTTTTGTCTTTCTCATTGCACTCTTGATTAGGACCCTCATCCTTATTAATATACCCACTGACCTCACTTCTCCAGGCTCAGCTTTCAGCCCTGATCCTGGGCTTCTGCCATATAGTCTTTTATTTCTACGAAGTAAATTAATCCCTGATAGATTAAGGTGTTTGATGGAAGAAGTATCACTAAATAAATATAAGAAGAAAATATATAAGATTTTAAATATATATATATATATATATATATACACACACACACATTTGTGTGTGTGTGTGTGTGTGTGTGTGTGTGTGTGAGAGAGAGAGAGAGAGAGAGAGAGAGAGAGACAGAGAAGGCTCTGTAAGCAAAACAAAAAACCAAAAAGTCAAAAGAAAAAGAAGTAACAGAGCTGACTACATAAAACTTTTAAATCTCTGGATAATATCAAAGATATTCTGAACAAAATTAGACAACCAACTGGTAGAAAGATATTTATATAATATATACCAAATTATTGACACCTGTAATATAGAAGGAACTCCTATGAATCAAGAACAAAAAGGATAATTGATTAGAAAAATGAACAATACATATAGATAATTCATAGAAAGTGAAATATATTTATTAATAAAATACAAAAATAATAATCAAAGGTATACAAATTAAAATGCTGTGTCCACCAAAATGATGTATCTATTTCTGACAAGAGTGTGACGGAATTGATTTTTTCACTCTTTTGTTAGTCTGTTTGAAAGCAGGAGGGTAATTTGGCAGTATATAAAGTTTTTAAATACACATATCTCTGTGCCCAGAAGTTCAACTTTTATGTTTCCATTTAAGAGAAATCTTCAAATGTGAACAAAATGGTGCATACCAGAATTTTCATTACATGAATTAAGTATCCATCAGCAGGAAAATAGTTAAATGTGTTATAATATATCCATCTACCTAATAACTTAAAAGATTAACTAGACTTAAACAATCCAATATAGAAAAAATCTGTAAGACTAAAGACTTCAATACTGCTCTATTGCCAAAACAGTACTACAGTAAAATTACATTCATTTTGAATCAAAGGAAATGGAAGGAAGGAAGGGGGAAAGAAACTAGGTTTCCTTTACAAATTCACCTACACAATTTTAACATATTAAAAAGTCTGCAAGGGCTGGGGATGTGACTCAGTGATAGAGTACTTGTTTAGCATGCATGAAGTCCTAGGTTCAATTCCCACCCCCCAAAAAATAAATAAAGTGTCTGCAAGGAGTGCTGCAGCACTGCTTACTTCTGAAAAAGGAATGGAATAGGAGTGGAGTAGGTGTTTGGGGTGCAGAACAGTGATGTAGAAAGCTTTTATCTCTTTTGACAATAATAAAATATTCACATGTATCTTGTATAATAAAATAATTCAGAAAGGAGGAAGAAGTGTGCAACCATGTCACCAAAAAAAGCAAGCAAGATAAAGCCTGAAGAGAATTCACTAGACTTAGCTATTAGTACTTAATCAGTGAGTTGGCAGAATGTAGTTTTGCTAGAGTAATGGGAGCAGGAACCAGATTGCCATAGATGGAATGGTGAATGGAATATTAGGTGTGTATTATGCCAGGCCCAGAGGCCTACACCTGTAATCCCAGGTTCTTGGGCGGCTGAGGCAGGAGGATCACAGGTTCAAAACAAGGGTGAAGTGCTAAGCAATTCAGTTTAAATAAAACACAAAATAGGGTTGGTGAGGTTGCTCAGTGGTTGAGTGCCCCTGAGTTCAATCTCTAGTACCAAAAACAAAAAAAAGAAGAGTGTAGATTATGTTTTCAAAACCTTAACTATGCAAAACACAAGAGAAATAGGGTAATACTCCATGGGGAAACTTCAAATAGAACACAATTTTAAAATATGGAAGCCATGCACATGATTAAATGCCAAAGGAGAGAGCCACAAAAGTGAGAGACTGAGCATGAAGAGAAGGAATAACAAATGAGACAAGATACCTGAGAGAGAGGGCTTAGCATCCAAAGCCTTAATGGAGAGCTTACCCACAGAGCACAGAGGAGCCCCTCTTATCCTGGGAAGTAGGACAAGACAGAGGACAGGTATAGTTGCTGAGAAACTATGTGTGCTATCACAGAGGAGGGAGTATCAGAAGTATAAGAGAATATGAGAACTCTTATCTGGTGGGCTGCATGCTCTAAGTAGGGTCATTCACTAAGAATAATGCAGGAGATGGCATAGCCACCAGCCTGAAGAAGTAGAGGAAGATTTGAATAATTGTGGAGAGTAAGAATGATATCTAATGAGAAGATCACAGGATTGAAGGGCAGCAATGGCCCACAGTGGAGGTTGAAAGCCATAAATTCCTATCAATAAGGTATCCAGCACCCTCAGTGTAGATATAAGTAAAAGAGGCAGTTGAAATGATCCAAGATTGAGATTTTTATCTGGTAATAGACAAGAGGATAATAGCAAGAGAGTAGTTGATGTGTTGTTGGATCCAAGGTTGTAGTTTAGTTAGGAAGGGCATAGAAGCAGAAAGGGAGTGATCATTTCAGGGTAGGGGAGATCCAAAATATCAAGGGTCTGGAGGAGCAATTTTCAGATAGATGTTAATGAGATTAAAATAACCTTGAGGACTTTGTCAAACTGTACTCGTCCTTCCTGTTCTAAAATTCTAATGTACTCCTCTATAGACATTCTCTCCCTTCACTCTCCCCAATTCAGAATCATTTCTGCAGTAAGCCATGGTCACATTGTCAGCATGGGGATATCTCTTAGCCAACAGCTTGATGAGGTTGAGGAGTTAACATTATTAGCCCATCTGAAATCTTTAAAATATAGTGTCATATCATCAAAATATTTTATCATTAAGAAAGGAGTCTATTCACTTTCTTTATTTTATTATAGATTGTATTTCACTTAGTTAAATAGAATCATCAGTGAGTTAAAAATCAGTGAGCTAAAATTTTCAAAATCTGGTTCTTTTGGTTTAGTTAACTGTGACTTGTTACCCAAGCTGCAAAGACCTTTAACCTCACAAAGTAAGTGGGTCATCATCTGAAAACATCTAGGGTCAACCACCTCAAGCTTAATTTTTCTAGAGAACATTAAAAAAGAAAGAAAATGTGTTAAATGATTTTAACCAAAGAAACAGTACTCAAACATGAACAAGATGTAAGCTTTTCTATGTGGGGTGACTTTTTCTTTTAATTTTGAGTCTTGTTTATTATATTTCCTTTCTTGTTAGATCTGCTTATCTTTTTATTTTTTATTTTTTTATTTATTTTTTAGTTGTTGATGGGCACAACATGTTTATTTACTTCTTTTTCATGTGATGCTGAGGATAGAACCCAGTGCCTCACAAATGTTAGGCAGGCACTATACCATCTGAGCTACAACCCCAGCCCAAGATCTGCTCATCTTTTTGATAAGCTTAAAATTATGGCCTTTCTCCTCAAGGCCTTTAAATTTCTCTCTCTCTCTCTCTCTCTCTCTCTCTCTCTCTCTCTCTCTCTCTCTCCCCCCCCCCTCTCTCCACCTCTCACTGCTTCCTGTCCATTTCTTTAAGGTAAGAATGCAAGAAGATGCAGCTCTCCTAAACAAAAGAATAAGCACTCAGCCGGGGCTTACGGCACTTCCTGAGAATCCAAACACTACACTTCCACCTTTCCCAGATACACCCTGTGAGCTGCAACCGAGGATCGACCCAGCTCTTGGTCAGCAGGTGAAGGATGGACTCGTCATGGGTGGCCAAGGTGATGCTTCTGTAGATGCCATTTACAAAGCAGTCGTTGATGCAGCCAGCAAAGGAATGCAAGTTGTCATCACCACTGCCGTCAACAGTACCACTCAGATCAGCCCTATTCCAGCTCTGAGTGCCATGAGTGCCTTCACTGCCTCAATTGGTGACCCACTAAACCTGTCCAGTGCTGTCAGTGCGGTCATTCATGGGCGGAACATGGGAGGTGTTGATCATGATGGCAGGCTGAGGAATGCAAGAGGGGCTCGGCTGCCCAAGAATCTAGACCATGGCAAAAACTCAAATGAAGGAGATGGATTTGAGTATTTCAAGTCAGCTAGTTGTCACACATCCAAAAAACAGTGGGATGGGGAGCAAAGCCCCAGAGGAGAGAGAAACAGGTGGAAATATGAGGAATTTTTAGATCATCCAGGCCATATCCATAGTAGTCCTTGTCATGAAAGGCCCAACAATGTCTCTACACTGCCATTTTTGCCTGGGGAGCAGCACCCAATACTGTTACCACCAAGAAACTGTCAAGGGGATAAAATTTTGGAGGAAAATTTCAGGTATAATAACTACAAAAGAACTATGATGAGTTTTAAGGAGAGACTAGAGAACACTGTGGAAAGATGTGTGCACATTAATGGGAACAGACCTCGACAGAGTCGGGGATTTGGAGAGCTGCTAAGCACTGCAAAGCAAGACCTAGTCCTAGAGGAGCAGTCTCCGAGTTCCTCAAATAGTTTAGAAAGTTCTCTAGTCAAAGACTACATCCATTACAATGGAGACTTTAATGCCAAAAGCATTAATGGGTGTGTGCCTAGCCCTTCAGACGCTAAAAGCATCAGTAGTGAAGATGACCTAAGGAATCCAGACTCCCCCTCTTCAAATGAGTTGATACATTATAGACCAAGGACGTTCAACGTTGGGGACTTGGTCTGGGGCCAATTCAAAGGACTGACTTCTTGGCCTGGAAAATTAGTAAGAGAAGACGACGTTCACAATTCATGTCAGCAAAGCCCCGAGGAAGGGAAGGTATACCAATCTTTATCCATTGTCAAATACTAACCTTTGTTCAGATATCAATTATTGTTTTTTGTTATCATCACTTTGGATTCTTTGGATTTGAATTTAAGATTCTTCATGACTCATTGAGGTCTCACAAGCTTCTGGAGCATAAAATGAAGAGGGGATGGTTATAGTCACCAAAATGTCATATCAACAAGGGGTGAGTTGTGAAGTGTTTATAGATCCCCTTAGGCTTATGGTGGATCTAGCCCAAGAATGAGATTTCCAGAATTTTGTCAACTCTGCCTTCCTTCCCTGCGTTTACCTATTTCTTTATTCCATAATCAGAGGAGGAAGGCAAGTGTCAATCACTGGGAAAAAAAATGTGGTTAACTGGGGGAGGGTCTCTGAATATGGCAGAGGTAGGGGTCCTACTAGGCAACAGGAAGGTGAGGGAACAATGTCTCCTGCATGTGCTTACATGTGACACATAGGACTCAGCAAGGGTAAAAACTGGGTGGAGTTGCAGCAAGAAGCAGCAGGTAATGTGTGTGAGTTCAGAATGGTGTCTCCTTTCAGGAAAAGTTCTGGGCCTTTGTAACATACGGAAATGTTTAACCTCACAATCTGGTTCTACTTAACACAATCTGATCACATAAATTAAATGAAAACTCTCCATGAAACTACCATTCAATTTAGAAGAAATTAGTAGGAGTTTTCTCGTCTTTTCCCCTTTTACAAATGGTAAAATTGGCCCACTAGGCAAGAAATATGTGGAATGTTTAAAGCAGAAAAATTTATATTTGACCAGAAGGAAATAATTATACCCATTCTCCTCATATGATGAAAAAACATAATTTTTTATCTTCTTAGGTAATAAAAATTACTCTTACAGGTACATATTATTCTGTTAAAGAATATATTACATGAAGCTATTTTAATTCTGCCCAAACTTTCACTGGCACTTAGGTTTAATGGCAGGAAACCAAAAGCATTTCTGCCAGCACAATAAAGGATTCTTTCTCCAAAGAACCAGGAGGTCCTTAAACCCTTACTTGTAATGCCTAATATATACTTGTCAGGATACACTCTGGGAATAATGTTTCTAGGTTTGATAAGAAAATTAATTCCATACTCCTATTCTCAAAATATTTTATTCTCTGTACTTTCTGAGACCAGACAAGCATTCCTTGGGTTGATAAACCCAAATATTTTTGACAGTTTATTTAAGAAATAATTAGAAACAGCAAAAAATAGACTTTTATGATATAAATGGAACTGTTACAAATACAAGATGTAGTCAATGAACTGTTTTTCCATTTCTGTGCAAATGAACCAAGCCTCTTCGTGTGCCATTTTATAAGAAGCTGAACTAGAAAAGAGATTATGGCCCTCCTTCCCAGAAAACATCCTTCCTGTCCTAAGTGCCTTGTCTAAAAATCTTTTTTTTTCCCCCCTGGATGGAACAAAGGCATGTATTTTTAATACATTTCACATTGAACAATGATCCAAAGTCATTTTTTTTATTAATCTGTTCTAAAATCCTGAGGATGAGTTATTCACTGATGTTCAAATTTCTTTTTTTAAAAAAATCATATTTTAAGAGTATAAGAAGTTATTTTGCCTCACCTAAATAAGCAACTAGTTTTTATTCACTATAAAGAAATAGTAACTCTGGAAATCCAGATTCTTCTTCTTTATTTTAGGCAATAAATTCTTAAGAGGAGCATGACATTGTTTTTGAAAATTCAAATATTCCTCCTCCCATTGACTAACATTGCAATTTTGCATTCTCAGATTAAAACCTTGGTATCAAGATACATTAAAAGCATTTTAGTAATTCAGAAAACCTAATTTAAAGCACACATTTTAAGATGAAAACTGAAAACATGTAATAAAATATTAGTGATAGCACATGAAATATTTATCATTAAAAAGCAAGATATAGCAGCCTTAAAAGCTCTCGGGCACTCAGCGTTTTTAACAACCTCTAGTCTTTTCAGGATCTATCTCACTTTTGCACATAAAAAAGCAAACCACTACTTCACAACATTCTTTTTTATCCTTTGGTCCACAAAACAAAGGAAGGACTTCCTCAGGCTTTATTTAATGATGCCCAGGGAACACAATGGTGCTAGTTTATAATACCAGAAAAAAAATAAATTTCAACAGGCCTGTCTAACTGCAAGCCAGGTATCCTTTACTTGATGTATTAGTGACCCTGGTTAATCAAGAAAAGATTAAACTATTTCTGTGTAATACCAAAACATGATCTATTTGAAAAAAGGTCTGTGGTAAAACATTATTTTTAATTTGCCCTCTTATCCAAGTGAATCAATTATGATGGAAATTTTATTTGCATAGAATTCCTTAATGCTCAGCAATGTTAGATAAATAAAGCCTTGTACATTAATAACTAGGCTTCTGCTTTTTAAAAGGTAAGCAGTGCCTTAAGTTCCCTTCTGTATACTAAAATGCCTGACATTTTAATAAAGTCTATAGAGAATGAGAGAGACTAATTCCATAAACAATTTATTTATTATAGTAAAACCTTATTAATTCCATCTTGCTGATGTGAAAAGTTGGCTCATTTCCCCTAGTGTTTATCTTTGAAGTTTTGAAAAGAATAGGTTTGCCAAACATTTTAAATAAACCTTCTTAGCCTCTTAGCTTTATACTGTCTCTGTGTCCACCAAAGTAAATTAATCTAAGATCCTGTCAGATCCCACCAGATAAAAATCTATGTTAATTCAAGTTTTAAAATAGATTTATTATCCCTCCTTCCATTCCATAGCCTGTCATTTATATTTTCAGTTATACCCGTCTTCTCAGCAAACTACCTCAAATTCTTTCTGGAAGCAGGCAAAGAAGAAAAAACAAGAACAATTAATTAACTTGATCACAGATTACTATTTGAAAGCGAGCTGGATCCCTCTCTAGTTTTCATGTTGCATGAGTGGTCTTTGGTCTAGGTGAGGCCAAGGGTATAGTTGAAGTACTGGAATCTTCCAAGACCTGAGATAGCCACCTTGTCTTTAAGTTCATAAATAGCAGACTCTTTGGTCGTCAGAAAAAATGGCTTAGTCAGTTTATGACTTTGGAAAGGCATTTTTAAGCTTTGGTGGGTTAGTATATATATAACAGAATGATAATGCATTAGAAATGTTCTGCGGTTTCTGAGATGATTTCCTAAGCATCACACACTGCATGAACATAGTCTAGAGGGAACTTGTGTTGATAGAGCAGTGTGGTAGAAAGAGGCATGGACTTGGGCATTCTGAAGTGAGCTTAATCTAAACTCTGTCAGTTAAGTGACCCTGTGTAGAGTTATTACTTTCCCAAGGAGCTGCAACCTCCTTACCTCTCAAGTGGGTATATTAATTCTTACCCAGAATGCTATCTTTTAAGAATTAGATGAGATACCACAGCTAGATTGTCTAAGCAAACAAAAGTGGCTCAATAAAAATTAGACTCTTTATCCCTATTTTCTATGTCAGACAATATATTAATTTGGAAGCCACAGTGATGGGAATGAAGTAGTTGACCTCAGTTATTGTTGAAATTGTTCAAAACTATTTTATGTACAAATTGGCATCTGATTATAAGTTAGTATTAGCTGTTAATTTCAAGCAAGAGTTCTACCTAGAAGCATTTTAAAGTACTCAATTTGTTGAGTGAACTTGAAAGTTCCTCTTCCCTCAATGTTTCCAAAAAATATCAACTCAGACTTCCTACCTTCCCTGCATATACAGACACCAATATCAATTAGTAGAGATGGTGGTCAACAGTCTATGAAAAGTTGGGCTGAATCACGTGTGTACTCCTATTCTAATACTGAAGCTATGCAACAGCACTGGAGGGTGTTGGGTGCCTCGTATTATACTGTTTAGGAAGTGGCATCTCCTTACTAATGTTTTTCCCTTTGTTATCAGTTTGTAATAAAGTGTGTTATAGGATATAGTTATATTTGTTCTAAGTATACCTGTGCAAGTTTCTCTCTGAACGATGAACCTTTATCATTTATGGTTTAGTCGCCAAAAATAGGACTTCAGTGCTATGCTCTAATACATAGTCATGTCCAGAGAGCTCTGCTTCCAAATCTTGGCATGGTGTTAGGGAAATTCTTGGAAAGAAAAGTGGCTACCCTGGCATTTCACACATATGCCATGTTGGGTGAAGATTCTTAAGCCTATGCAACTATGGGAGGATATGGAAATCTTTATGTACTTATTATTTCAGTAATTATTTTAAAATTTAAAAATGCTCATTTTCTAAAACATATTTCATAACTGTCATTGGCCACTTTTGATCTTACATGAACTAGCCTTAAAGGGTTGCCTCTCATGTAATAATAACCAAAACATGAAATTCTTGGATATTTTTTCAGCATAGATCATTGATTTCACTCTTTTTGAACATTTTCACATTGGTTTTCATGTTTCATTGTTCTTACAGCTGATGTGTATTCTGACCTGAGCCAAACCTAAGAAAGAATTTATTAACAGAGTGGTACCAAATTGTCTCTTTTCAATGGAATGTCTTTTCTTGGACATGTAGAGAAATACTTATAATTTCCAGGAAAATGTCTATAAAAGGCATAGTGGGGCAGGCGCCCCATTCTTAGAATCACACTTGGGCTTTTTTTTTTTTTTTCCACATGGTTGTATTTGGCAGGTATCAATTAAAAATAGCTCTCTGAATATGCATTCAAAATTGACAAAATTCATTATTGTTAAAACTCATAATCAAATTTACTTGGGAGCAAGACACTTTCAGTACACAACTTTCAGCATCATACCTTTAACAGTGTGGTGCATAAGCAAATATGGCTTCTCTCAGAGATTGGGCCTAGAGACCCACCTGGGGTGATGTGCCCTCCTTCAGAGTTTAAAAGTTTTACTTAGAAGAATATTCTTTCTGTGACTGATTCTCAGTGTTAACTAATTTTTTTCCCTTGGTAATACAATACTCTATTGAAAGTGTTCTTTGTTTATTCTCTTTGCCTTATTCTTTAACTAAAACTGTTA